CTCTAATGCAGCAATTTTATGTTTGAGAATGTTAGGACCTTATAATTAATTGTACGTTTCGAGCTTTGAGCATAATCAAAAAATTAGGATTTCAATGTGAAAATTGAGACTTTAAATCAATAAAATCAACCTGTATTTTTTCGATATTCTAATATTCGCACCAACACATGATTTTGATTCATATGATGTCAATGTTATGCGGATTCTTACTTTAGTCAAAGGAACTCTTTTTCACATAATTAAATCTACAGCGAATACTTTTTTGAAGTAATTCAGCAGATCAAAAGATAAATGGAAGCTCCAAACGGACTAAATGTCTTTCACGCGTACTGTGAAACAATAAAAAATACAAATTCACGAGAATATAAATAACTATGGGAACCAGTCCCAAAAAAAAAAGATTAATCTACTTTAAGCATTTACAGCTTTTTTCGTTGGAAAAGATGATCATAAACATTTCTCACTATCTTTTACGAAGAAGAAAATGACTTATATAACCGTTTCAGAGACTATTTAATGTGAATAACGCTTGGAAACGCTGACTAGACGTAAAAACGGCAAGAAAAGTGATGATAACGTTTTTTCTTGCCGTTTATCACCGTTTCCTAATAGAACGGGTGATTATGACAGTTTAGACGGCATTTTCAGCGTTTCACTTCTTCCTGGGATTATACCACAAAATTACCTATTATTAGTGGCGCACTATAATTATAAACAACAATCAACGAATGTTAGAGTTCTAAACAAGTATACTCGTTCAAATTAAACCAAAGTTGCACTCGAAACATTTGCATCTTTCATCTTCTGTTATTAAAGAATCATAATGCAAATTCATTGAACATACAACAAGTCACACAGCCAGACTTATATATGCTGAAATACTACTGATCAATCGAATTATTGTAGCTAAAATCTATCGAAAAATTTTGGTACAAATCTAATGTTACGACAGAGAGGAAAAAAACACGTCTGCTACCGTTCTAAAGTGGAAGCTTTGTGGACAAAAAAAAGATCAACAAAAGGGTGTGACTGTGGGGTGTGGGTGTGAGTGTGACGGTGGTGTGGATGTGGGTGCGGGTGTGGATGTGTGGAGCATTTGTGAAAAGAAGGTTGTAACATCCACATCCACATCCACCCACCCACACCTACATTCACAGGCCACATCCACCCACACCCACACCGTCGCCCTCACTCTCGTTATCAATAAAAGCGCTATTTACCCACTTTACCGATTTTTTCATCAAGCCTCTCGTCAATCGTTAGATAAGAAAATTTAAATGTATACGCTCGCTTTTCCCACTGTGGAAAGCAATGAGTAAATAGAATAATGTTCGTCTCGCGTTCTTATCTCGTGCTCGTATCTTTTACGAATCAATGTAAAAACGTCTGTATATAAGATTCGACCAGAACGCTGCAATAAGCAGTTTTATTTTGCTTTTATCAACTTCATTATACCATGCAAAATCAAAATATATTTACGATCGTTTTCATTGTGATTTTAGCTAGTATTTCATATTGTACTGGAGATACATGTTATTGCAGATGCTGTTCTGGCAATTTCTGTACACCAACTTTGCAAGGTACCATCTTCATTTCATCATGTGCTTCGGCTGATTGTATGTCAATGTGTCAACAAAAATATCCAACACAGTGCACAAATGGAGCAGGCAGTGCTACTTATCAATGCATGAGCGGCGGCAACCCTTCGACAGCCAACTGGACCGGTGTATTCATTATGGCAAATAGATGTGACAAAACAACGTGTTGTTGTCCTTCAGGACAGCTAATTCTCTCTCAAAAGAACTCGAATGCTTTGCGTGTTCAGTGTCAATTTGCTGGCCAATTATGTCCTTCCGAACTTTCATCTATCGATGAGATGATTGAAATGCCCAGTGATTTCAGCACTACAATATTGTTTATGAACGATCCGATTCTGATCACGCTCAGTCAAGATAGTCGTACGATCCAATTTAACAATCCAGGAGCTCCTTTATGCGGTGAAATTGCCACGAGAAGTGAAGTTATATCCACAAGCACGAGCAGCGAAGTTATATCCACAAGCACGAGCAGTGGAAGTATGTCCACAGCAGCGGGCAGTGGAACTATGTCCACAGTCGCGGGCAATGGAGCTATCTTCACAGTCATCATCAATCTGGCACTCATGTCTCTCTTAGCTGGAATAATGAGTTTGAAACAATTCATGATTTGAGGACATTTTGACATTTCATTTTATTTTTGTTTCCTTTACTTTCCATATTTTCATTTTTTTTATTCGAATATATCGTTGTAACAGTTAACCAAGAGTTTTAATTTTTTCATCATTAGCATTTTATATATTCGATAAAATTTTCTTCACATCTTTTGTATTAAAATCCTCGGCACATTAGAAGATCCAAGGTCCTCTATTCTGTCTTATCGTTCACAAGTTACAAGGGGGTCTTCTATTATGTCCCTAAAAGAAGTCAAATATTATGGTGATCTCAACCACAAATCCTAATTTCAACCCTTTTTTGTTCAATACATCGTTAATAAACGAGTTTATTTTACTTATTTCGCGCTCGTTCAATGAAAAAGAAACGGATAATGTTTCAATGCAAAAACAAAACAATCGTTAGTTACAAGAGTGTTCTTGAAACAATAGAGACAACATATTCTAAAATTTTGGTGCAATTTATAACAACACTATTTTTTCTAAAGAATACGATCTATCACTGGTGGCATTTATGCTCTACATAACTACACTCTTGGACAAAAGTCTCTCCCCTCTTTGTTTCTATGCTATCATACTTTGCATCAAATTTATTGCCGACTAAAGACATGACATAAGAGTTTTATTTCAATATGGTACAGATCACACTGAAATAAAACTCTTATGTCATATCTTTATTTGGTCATTAATTTGATGCAAAATGTGATAGCATAGAAACAAGGAGGAGGAAAGTCTTTTATCTGGGGATATAAATAACTTAAAGAAAGAAAATTAAACTTTTGTCTATCAAAGTTATTTAAGTTAGTTGTTTATGTTGAGGATTGGTTCGTATAAATAGAATTGGTACAAAATGAAATGTACCACCAGTTTAGTTATTAGCTTTTAGCTGGTTTGAATGAATACGGTTGTCTACGAAGAAACAATTTACAGAAAAAGAGCGATTGAATACACGTTGAGAGTGATTTTAGGATCTTTTGTGTCTGTTTTGAAAAGCACCTTGGCATCTTTATGCGAAAAGAAATACGTCCTCATACATAGAAGGGTATTTTATAAAACACGTCTCATTCCATTTCATCAGAGATATATTTTTTCAATTATGAATGAGATCTACCATGACAAGAATGTGTCAGAATTTCTAGAAAGAATTGCACAGTCGAAAAGATGTACTACGTAATGGATAGTGGGTTTTTACCGAAGATGTTTTTATTTCAGAAAGATCTATTTTATGTGTGACACGTTTGGGTGCGTACTGCATTAATTAGGCCCTATGACAGTTGAAACGAATATTTTCGCAAAGAAAAATCTAACAAGTTTCCTCACAGCACACTGCAAAGGAGCATTAAAGTGACCGTAAGACACGCTTTTTAATACAGAAAACATTTTTTTTATTAACTGCACTTTGGGTGTGGATGTGGGTGTAGGGTGTAGGAGTGAGTGTGGGTGGGTGGCGTGCGTGGATTTGGGTGCGCATTTCAGATTCCTTAGCTACCCACACCCACACCCACACCCACACCCTTTACTTTATCTTTAATAAACGAATATTTTCCCATGATATGGCATGAGCACACAGACAGGAATAGTATGAAGTTGGTCATGTTAATTTTTTAATTTATTGGTAGAGAAATTGAAACACTGAGAATATATGATTATTTTTCTTCAAATGATGATATATTCAATATATCGATTGTAACTATTTCTTTTTAGGATACAGATAATTTTAAAAAAAACTATTCTTAAAGAAAAGGAAAATAAAGATAAAAATGTTTCTGATATACAATCGGTACATTAGTCATTAGTCACTTCACTTGTGAGCAATTGATTCGTGTTAAATCACTTATGCAATTGTTCGTCTCATTTATTAATTATTCATATTGTATTATCAATGTATTAAGATTCGAAAAATGTGTGTTTGTATGACACAGAAATTGAAGAGCATAATCAATGTATATATCAATGAGATCGAGTCTAGTCAAAATATGAATATTTAATAACTGAAGAGATTTGTTTGTCATTAACTATTTTAATTTCACGTTTATTTTCTTGTGATGTCAAATTATAGAGTGTGAAATATTTCAGTAAGAGAAATGTTCTAGCAATTCATTAAAAAAAATCATGTTCAAATGAACATGTACCATACAATTTCAAATCATTAACAAACCGAGAATGTTTATCCAAAACAAAATTAGCAACACACGTAATACGTGTCATTTTTGACTATTGTAGTATAAATATGAGCAACACCAAGTTGATTTGATAAATAATATACACAACAATTAACTGAAGAATATTTCCAATCAATAAATGTCATTTGAATATCAGTATCTGATAACAATTGGTTTGTATTAGAAGTGGAAATTGTTGCACAAATATGAAATTTAAATGAGCTTAGTTTTGGCATATGAATAAGAACTTGTTTATCAAGATGAATACCATCACTGAATCTCTCTCGTTTCATAAAAAGACGTAAAGTAAGATCTTTCAAATTTGGCATGCGACGAAGAAGTGGTTGAATTTGGTCGTCATAATGATTTGTAAGTGAATCACTAGTTAAAGAAAATTCCGTTAAATTTGGTAACATATTCTACAAAAAAAAATTCATCATTAAAAAATCTATTAACAATTTTAAAATTCAGATAAAATGAATTTTTGATTAAGTTTACTTACCATGTTGACAGTGACTAGTGATCATTTGTAAATAGATTTAATATTTACAGTAAATGATGATAACTGATTGATACGACCATCAAGTAAACAAAGACAATCATCGAAACTTGCCACATTAATAAATAAAGATCGTAATTGTGAAGAGAAACAAGTATTTGAAGGTTGATCATACAATATGAATTGCGTACATTTACTATTACTCAATCGATTCGCACCAAAAAAGATTAACTTTTTACATACAGAAAAAGACGTGTACATCCCTCTGTAAATAATGTATTCGACGATTCTGATTTTCTGTTAATAATAGTAATGTGTGTGATTTGCTCTTGAAATAATCGAGCAATCGATGATTCTTCTAAAAAATTCACATCGTGCAATAGAGTTACATTGGAAAACTGATATTATCATAGGTTGATGTTTCAAGAGCGTCACATACCTGCTAGATACTTATAAACAGTATACGGTGAACAATTTATAATACTGATCATACGAATATTAGAATATTGACCAGTGAGGAGAATGTCTTCCATTCATCGTTGATCAACAATAAGTACTTCTAAGTTTTGATGTATTTGAGGTAATATATGATGGCAAAATCGATTAATTATAGGATAATTAACTGACAAAAATTTATGATCCGATGATATACTTGAGAAGTCTAAAGATTTAGTGTGAGTGAGTGAGACTTCTTGCCATTTTATCGAGTCGTTTGTTCACTTCCAATAATGAATAAAGGACATCAATAGAACAAAGTTTTTTCATAATAATAATAAGTAGAATTTCATCAGGTAAATCAAGCAGTTGAACAGCCTCATGTTCCATATTACATAAATGTCGAATCGACTGACGTTCCTTCTTCGATACTTAGTTATTTATTCCACGTCTAATGCCGTCCGCAACGTGAACAGTGCATTGTTCTTTATCGTACTTCAGAAAACGAACATATGCAATATGATGAAAATCTCTAGCTATTGGTTACACAGTCGACTGAACTACGGACGACTAAGTTATCTTTTCTTTTTTCTATTCTGTATTAGAAATTTTGACACAATCATTTTATACGACGTAACTTTGTTCAGAGTGTAATATACGACGTCAGCACTGATATACACGAGACAATAAAAAGCGACAAGTGCACCAACAAATAAAAAAAGAGCAAAAAAAATATTGTGTCAAGTTTGATAATTGTTAGTAACAGATGAAAAAGTCATTTGTGAATAGTTTCATAAGATGTTCATTGAGACTAGTGTGTATCTATGTATTCATGAGATTTTATAACTTTTGGATTCAATTATTAATTGAGTTGAAATAGTCTTTATTGAGCTAATTAACTTGTGCTTCAATATCGAAAAGAAAGGTTTAAATCATATGTATATTTTCGCTTATCATACTAGCCCAAAATTTGATGTAACTTAGAGAAAAAGAAAAATATTAGCAAAAAGCATGGAAGTGATCTTATTTGTCGTGAAAAATTAAATGTCTAACAAGCGTAATCTTATTCAGTTATATACAGAAAGATGCAGTTTTTCACGGGCTATCTCCTGATACTAAAAAGATTTTTGGGAATAAATTGCTCTGATACACTTTTAGGGCAAAAACATAAAAAAATTTCATAAAAAAAATGACTATTTTTACGTATTTTTTGAGTAAAACATAATACATTAAGACTTCTTTAGACACGATTTATATTTGAGAATCTTGTTCTATGATGGTGTATTTAACAGATCTGATCAAGATACGTTAATTGATACTAAAAAAGAAGGATCTTCAAGAGTAATATATGTGGTTATAATGCGTTAACTAAAAAACTCTACAATTCATCAAAATTTTCGAAGATTTATAAAATAATACCTAGGGGATCGGTTCAAAGGTCCCTCCGTATTTCGTGATAGGGTTTTCAGAAAAAGCTAAAAATTTGGTTTTAAGCCTAACTTTTCACGCTCTTTCGAATGGTCTAACTCATTTCAAAATACAAAATTTTTCAAATGCCGGTGTTCATATGTATTAGTCGATTTTCTCGTGGACTCTTTCTTAATATCTATTCCACTTGAACAGTGTCCTTAAGTTTGTCAATAACTTATCATGAAAATGATTTTATTCCTGTTAAAACATGTTTTTTATGCCATTGATATATTGGAAAAACAGCATGCTACTACAGAATCGCAGAAAAGTATCACAGTATGATTAAATCTCAATGACAACAACACTTTTTGTTGAAATAAAGATCATTAATATTCGGTTCAACTGATTGGCGAATGATTTTTAGCTCTAAACATTTATGTTGCTAATGTCACTCCCCAGCTCAAAGAATTAGGTGTAAGATCTGTGGACCAGATAAAGTCGTACGAAAAACATAGGAAAAATCGTGGTGTCTACAAGTAGTCAGATCTTGAAAGGATTCTATGTAAGAGTTGATGTAAGCTTTTCAAACACCACAATTTTTTGTACGATTTCGTTCTGATCTTAAAAGATCAGAGGTACAATTTTTTAAGATCCTGCTGCCTAATTGTTTGACCTGAGTCTCACTGATCTAGTTATCATCTTTCATACATTTCTAGCTGTTATTGTACTTGTTCATATACTGATTCTTTTCTACAAATTAACGCCAAACAACCAACGCCAATAAGCTATGTTTAAAGCTTCTTTGCTGCATTTGTTTGGTCACTGCTGCGGACTTGGAAAATAATTTCGTAGTCAGAAAGTATTAATCGAACAACCTATTGGAAGCTCACACTATGACAATTCTGTTTATAGCTTGAATATCTATCAAAATATAACCCTCTTGCAATCGACATCGAATGGTGAGCGAGAAAATTTTTTTAAGTAACACATTAACAAGAAACTGTCGCTTATTGGTTTCAGTCAATCTTGTCAATTTTTAAACAAATGACATTTTATTTCTATAAACACTCCCATATCAAGAAAATGATTATAATTGAATAAAAATGTAATTCATAAATATAATTGTTTTTGGCAATTCTTATTAGATCCATATTCGAATACGACTAACTGACGTTGGCTCTCTGACAATTACACATTTTGATGGTAAATGATCAGTTAACCATTGAATAAATTCATCTTTGTTTGATGTATTTTCGTCACAAAATTCATCATCATTCATTAATAACCGTATACCTTCAGAATTGTTCTCATCTTCACATTGAACATGTAATGCTCGAAGATTCATCATGTTTTTACAAAGAATAATAATAATACTTTCACGAGTTTTCACTTGAATAGCAAGTACTTCACATGAGACACCTAATGGTGATCGACTCAATGTAATACATTCCTCCTCATTGTAATAATAATTACACTCGCACAAATTAAACCGACGAACTGATACGTTTCTGTATGTGAATAATGACATTTGTAAAGGTAATGATATATCTTAACTAATAATTAGTGTGACAAGATGAAGTATAGGCTCTTGGGACATGAAAACTCAATGAAAATTTGACTTCTTATATACCATTCGATGCGCCTTAAAATTCTCTGCAAAACCATATACAGAATGTTCTTGGTGCAACTAGGTCACCAAATCCGGCAGGACCCTTTGGACTTAGAGCTTTTAGATGATACTGAATACAATGAGAATATGGAATCAAAAATCTAAATTTTATCGAGTGCTTCGATTCCTGTTACGGTCATTGATGGTCTCATGGGAGCTCTCTTAAATAAATACTAAGAGAAAAAGCCGCTGTTGATTTTTGACGACCGATACCAATACCAGCTCCTTCGCTACTCTCTGTAGCGCAATACTGTAAAACATTTCTCAAGGTTAGAGGACGGAAGATCGGTTGTAACAAGCAAAGAAACAGATATCCTTTCTTCGTTCTTTGAATGAGAAAATTTTTTTTTCTACAAAAAAAGGAGAATGAATCTTTTTAGTTATGCAAAGGATGACAAAATAGTATTTTACTTGTTTTACTCGCTGCAATGTCTTTTCCGTTCTTTAATATATGGAAGCTTTTAACAGTGTAGACTGCCGCCTGCACTATATATTGTTACGTTGAAAGAGAGAGAAAAAAATTTAAAAAAAAGATGTCGGTTTCCATGGTGCTGCTGCTTTACGAAGGAAGTAGTGTTGAATTATCAACTTATTTTTCTTCTATTTTAATAGTACCTTGTGAAAATAATAACAATTTTTTTGCTATTCCAACCAATCGAATGCTACTTTGAGAAATGAAATGTATAAAAAGAAAAACAAGTAGATTGCATTGCTTTATTTTTAGTTGGAGAAAAAAGAGAATTGGGCTGCTTTAAACAAAGTATTCTCTGTAATATTTATTTTAACAATCAAACATTTGGTGAGTATTGCCACAAATATAAAGTAGGGCATATTTGATGCGAAACGGCGGTTCAATGTGCCTTTCGCATTGAGATATTTACAAAAAGGCTTAAAACTCATTAGATATCGAAAAGCAATGTTTTCCACCGAATATCGCATAATTTCATCTTTAAAGGCTCTATCACTATCAAAATGATATTATTCTTAGTCTCATGCAAAATTGGTCGTAGAAAGAAACTATAACACTCTCGAAAGTATACTGCGGTAGATGAATAGCCTATTCGATCAAAAAAAAAAAGATCATTGATACGATAATGGGTGTGGGTGTGTGGGTGTGGGTATGGGTGTGTGGGTGTGGAGGTGGGGGGGTGTGTGGGTGTGGGTGTGGGTGTGGATGATTGTTTAAGAACAACTCACACCCACACCCACACCCAATACTTCCAATCTTTCTTATTATCTGAGTACTTTTTAAAACAAATAAAATATTTGTAATCAGCGAACTAAGTACTATTGAACTATAAAGACTTGTAATAGAACAGCGACAAAAATTGTTTTTCAATACCTGAGGGGGACCCCAGCTGTGAAAAATTGGGCTGTGATAAAGTAGAAAATAAAATTATGAAAAATAGTCAGGGTTCAATGCTGATTCTCAAGGTAATAAAATTAGGTTCAGCTTTTTTGAGACCCTCGGTCCGTAATTCGACGCAATTTTTGACGTATTGAAATGAAATTAATGCGTGATAATGAACTAATAAATCAATAATAATCAACTACATGCTTTACTTTATCTTATTTTACTTCATCTTACTTTTTCAGTAAAGTAAAAGATACTTCACTTTACTTTAATTCACTTTAGTTTACTTTACTGAGTAAAGTAAAGTAAAGTAACCGAATTTTACTTTACTCAGTAAAGTAAATTAACTCTACTTTACTTTACTTGATAAAGTAAAGATAAAGTGCCACCCTAGCGTGCACCTTTTTGTTGATATTCAGATTTATTTGCTCTCCATGCTTAATACAAGTGGATTTTTTTATAATATTATCTTTATTGACAGAGACATAGTATATTCTAACAGACGGCACATTTACACATACATGATTATCTTAGTTTGATTTGAAAGTTAATGAATTTAAAGCCAAATCAACTGGCGAGCAAATATACTTGGATAGAAACTATGTTCCCTCTACTGAAAGGAGAGTCATACACCGAGCAAGGTTCGTATGTTCGTGACTCCGTCCGTCCGTCCGTTCGTTCGTTCGCACAGAACGAAAAAATGTTTTTTTGACCTCTCACATCATCGTTTTTATAAGGGTTGATCGGAGGGTAATCGGGGTCGAGGAACTCGAATCTGATGTTAGTTTTTTGAAATTTTTTTCGGATCGATTTTTTTTACACAAAGGATCACTTTTTTTACGAAAAAAATTTTTTTATAAGGGTTGACCGAAGGGTAATCAGGGTCGAGGAACTCGAATCTGATGTTAGTTTTTTAAAATTTTTTTCGGATCGGTTTTTTTTACACAAAGGATCACTTTTTTACCAAAAAAAATTTTTTTATAAGGGTTGACCGAAGGGTAATCGGGGTCGAGGAACTCGAATCTGATGTTAGTTTTTTGAAATTTTTTTCGGATCGATTTTTTTACACAAAGAATCACTTTTTTTATAAAAAATTGTTTTTTATAAGGGTTGACCGAAGGGTAATCAGGGTCGAGGAACTCGAATCTGATGTTAGTTTTTTGAAATTTTTTTCGGATCGATTTTTTTTACACAAAGGATCACTTTTTTTACGAAAAAAATTTTTTTATAAGGGTTGACCGAAGGGTAATCAGGGTCGAGGAACTCGAATCTGATGTTAGTTTTTTTAAGTTTTTTTTCTGATCGATTGTTTTACACAAAGAATCACATTTTTGCAAAAATTTTTTTTTTATAAGGGTTGACCGAACTGGGGTAATCGGGATCGGGGAATTCGAATCTGATGTTAAGTTTTTGGAATTTTTTTCGGGTCAATTTTTTTACACAAAGGGCCACTTTTTTTTTT